CCCCCCCCCCATTTCCCCCCTTTCCCCTGGACGCTACAGAGACTCCCCCAACAGCTCGCGTGTAGTGCGTGTCCGCTCTCATAAGAGTAGCACGACGACAACGATGAAAAATGAACAAGTGTAAGAAGACAGGCAGGAGAGGGAGCTAACTTTGCCGCCCCCCTTTCCCCTTTTCCGTTTTTCCCCCTTGCTGTACTTTTCCTTGCTCGGGCGCCGCCCCGCGCGCCGCGCCGCTCCGAGCTGTTCTGTCACGAGATGTTTTTCTGACGCGGTCCGCCGGAGGAGCTAGGGCTCCTCGGCTCCTCGGCCCCGCCTGGCCGCCGTGGGCCCCGACCTGACCTGACAGACGCGGCAAACAGGGAGCAAAGTTGCGCCGTGATGAAAGCCCCTGATTGTAATCCTTCTATCCCCGCTCCCCTCTGTCGCTCTCGCTCGCTCCTCGTTGTCTAGGCTGGCGAGTGGCGCCACTTCGTCTCTGACGGCGTCAATCTGCGTCACTTTAGTAAGGAGTCCTTGGAGGAGGCGCAGAGGGGAGCCTTGGGAGAGGTCGTGGTGGGGTTGGGGGGCTGGCTGGGCGGGGGCGGGGAGCAGGTCGCTGGCGTCCCCACGGCCCCGGAGCCTGCTGGACGTCGCTCTCCATTAGGGGGTGGCCGGCGGCGGGGCGGCGCGTCTAAAGTGAGCGGATGACTAGAGCGAGCTGCTCCCGAGACCATCATTTTATTATAAAATCTGCCCGTCCCTCCCGCCCCTCCTCCCTTCCCATCGGCCAATGTAAAGGCAAAAGACATGTCGCATCTCAAACACTTTTCCCGTTTTGTTTCCTTCTTTGCAAGTTATTTACCAGTTCAGTGGAGCAAAGTAAAATAAAATAAAAAGTTTGGTTGGACGGTCTCTCTCTCCCTCTCTCTCTCGCATGTGCCGTTTCCATTACGGGGAAACATGTTATGCTCGGCTAGCGGGCGCATTTCTCATTAATGTCACAATTTCCGCCGAACTGGTGTTTGAACATTATTTGCTTCAATAGACTGACCGCCAAAAGTCTTTGCTGGAAGACCTAAAAAGCTTAAACTACCCTCCGAAAAACTGCACGACCATTAGAGGAAATTCTCAAAATAAAAAACGTAAAGAAAATTGAGTTTTGGGTTTTGCTGATGATTATCTTTGTCTACAAAGATAATTTTTAACAAACAGTTTGTTAAAAAAGAGCTCTTTTATTAACGGCATATGAATTCCCCGGAATTCCCCAATGAGTGCGAGGACGAATTTCTTAACACTGGCGTATTAAAACATTCCTAGGCGGAGCACGAACAGAATAATTCATAATGAGGTATAGATAAAATGGTTCAAGTGTTTCCGGGTATCATGATCATTCCCCAAGCACAGCGCTCCGGTCTCGGTCGCTATGTTGATGCAAGTTAGCCCCGCCGCGCCACGCCACGCCACGCCACGCCCCGGATCGGCTAGATCCTGATTTAATTCGGCATATCGACACACTGCCGCGAGCACCGCCGCCGCCACCCGCCACGCCACGGCACCGCGCTCCCGCTCCGGGGAAGGATATAGCGCCATCTTATTGCGCACTAAAGATCCCTCGTTTGGCGCGGAGCCGAGCCGGCATGGGTGCATTCTCACACTCACACGGGCGCGCGCGCGCTCACACACACACACACACACACACACACACACACGTGTAGTGCTGTGGCGAATGGGGCGAGAGGAGTGGCGTCCCGCCAGACAAGGGGGAGTCTCGTTGCGGCGAACACGTTGGCGCGGGAAGGAGACGCTACACTTGTCAGGGGCGCTGCGGGGAGATCAGGTGCCGCCTGCCACCACGCCCCACCCCGCCCCGCCCCACGCTGAGCACCGCGCCAGACGGCGCCGCACAGGGGCGGGGCGACCGTCTTCAAGGCGGAGGGGAACAGGCCGGGCGCACCGGGCGGCACCAGCAGCAGGCCGCCCAAACACTTGGCGCGCTACCTCACAGGACCCCTCCCCGCCGATCCCATTCCCTTTGACGCCGGCGCGCCCTCCCCTCCGCACCCTCCGTGCGCGCGGTGGTGGCCGCTGGGCTGGGGCCGCTCGGGCCGCCCTCACACCCGCCCGTCGAGCCTCCGGACCTGGGGGCTGCGGGCGCGCCGCGCCAGCCCTACCAGCCGCCCTCCTCTGCCCCTTGGCCTAGTTAGCTAAGTACCCCCCCAGCGCACGCCCGCGCAGCATCGTCGTCGTCACGGCCAATGGGTCAGTGGCTGTGGCGGGGTGACCCTCGCTGACGACACGAGGACCCTGACCTACCTGTATAGCGGGAGGCCGGCGTCGTCCCGGAACCACAGCACCATGTAGACCTTGTCATGGCTGGGCGCCTGCACGTCGCACGGCAGCTGGACCGCCGTCCCCTCCACGGCCATCACCGTGTGCGCCGTCACTGCAACAGAAAGGGTCACGGTCATCACGCGCTCCACTAAGAGCAGCACCAGCAGTGCCGGCAGCACCAGCAGCACAAGCAGTATAAACAGCAACAGCACCACCACCACCACCACTAGCACCAGAGCACCTTCGCAGCCCAGCGCGGTGAGAACAAACCCGGCCGCAGCCTGCCGCATGGATGCCGCAGGCGGCGGGGGCGGGCACGGGGGGCCGTTACCCCTCGCCGCCCAAAACCATCCCCGCCAAAACTCGAACCACAAGCAGGACCACCATCGCCCCCGCAACGAGCGCGGCGGCCCTCAACATGGACCGACTTCGCCCGCTCCGCCCCGCCCCCCTTACTTGTGCAATTACCACCGGCACTATGGCGATGGGGCTCCGGTTCGAAAACGGCGGCGGCGGCAGCGACGGCGGCGGCCGCGCTCCAAACTTACCAAGACAATGCGTCGCTTACGAAGCGCCCCTTTACCTCCGCGCGGCCCTGCCACGCCCCGCCACGCCCCGCCACGCCTCGCCACCCCCATCTCGCTTCGCAAACGGCCCTTCCCCCCAGCCCCTCTCTCCGCCCGGGCGCGCCCCTCAGCTCCTGCGGCCCACATGTGCAGCGCCGCGCTAGGCTAGGATATCGAATCCGAATATGATGAATAATGCCGTGTGTGCTCACACACACACACACACGCACGTACGTCTTGTGGCTTCATTCAATTACCATGCAGAAACAGTAAGGCCCCACATTTTCTCGGTGAGTGGGAAAAACGTGTATGGAAGAAAAACATAGGAATGTAAGGCTCCGCGGCGCTCCGCGGCGCTCCGGCTGGCTCCGGCGGTCTGTTCTCGGCCCCGGCCCGGCCCCGGCCCGGCCCCCGGAGAGGCGTCGGGAGAGTGAACGCCCTCAAATAACAAGCGCGCGCGGGCGAGAAGAGAAGGGTGAGCACGGAAGAGAAAGTGAGAGGGGAGGCGGTGCACACATGCTAATGCAGGCAGGTCGCGGCGCCAGCCTTGGGAAGGTTGGAGGGCTGGCGCCAGCCGCGGTGCCAGCCCAGCCCACAGCCCACCCGCTACCGCCGGTGTATATCACAGCTTTACTTTCATGTTTTATTTCGGGAGGAAGTTTGCCGGTCTCGCGACTCGTGCGCAGAATACGCGGCGGGGATCAAAAGCCAAGTGAAGCGTGCGCCCTTCTCCGCGCCCCCATCCGCCTCCCCCTCCGTCGCCTGCCTCTCATTCTCCCCCATCCGCCCCCGCGCCCTCGCCCCGCCGGACCTCCCCCATCCTCGCAGCCTTGTTGGGAGAAGGATTTGAGTACGTCGCCAACTTGCCCCTCGCCGGACGGGTCGTCCTCGGCTGCTGGAAGTGAGTCAGGAAGCGGATGAGGAACCCACGGCGCACAGAGGAAGATGGTTCACTTAGATCGGACGGGTTCGACTCGCGCATCTCCAGCACCACTGGCGCGTACCGGGGAAAGAAAGAAAGCAACAGAGAAGGTATTCTAGAGGTGCGTCACCATAAGGTTTCACTGCAAATCCAAGCGTCGGCTTTCTAATCTAAATTAAGCGAGACAAGTGGAATGTCCTAGCCCAATAAGAATGAGATATTTTAAACTTTCCTAATTTGAGTATGGTGTGGTACTTTCATCTTGCTATCTTTGAATCTGTCTGTGAACCTCGCTTCATTAGAGTCATGATTTTATTTAACAGTCAATTTGAGTAAGAATTATGGCGCTCGCTCTTACCGAGTCATAATATTTTAATTTGAATGAAATGGATATCAACTTTTAAAATTAAGCGTATAAAAAATTGGATTTATTGGAACTACAAAAACATCTCACACATTGCATCAGTCATAAGTGGCTGTGTTGCAGAACTCTCACCCACCTAATGATATGGCATTGGTCAAGTTATCTCCCACGGGCACTCTTATTTTCAATGATTGACTAGGACTAAAAATGCGCAAATGCCACACACAATCTTATCAATATGTGCAGAGTTCAATGTGTTTGTATTCCAGACACTAACTGTATGCCTGAAACTGCAGGTAAAACACTTACTTGTGCAACATTACAACAGGATAAACGGGGTGCAAGTTTCCATGGTAGGATAGTAGTTAACCTCAACAGCTGATATGGTAAAATCAGCCTCAAACCGTTGACAACTGAAAGAAAATGTAATATTTCACAACTAATGAATCAAGTTATGTGGGAGATGATTATCCAAGAACAGCTTTCACTGCCATCGATATTCCACACCGAAAATTAGTTTAAAGGCCGAAAAATGACGTTCTTTCGATGGCGACGCCATGATGAGACGACTGCTTGACAAACGAGGTTGGGTGCTGATCGACGTGGCGCGCTCTTGCGGGGCGATTCTGAAGTTGGGAACATTGTGGCATTTTGGCCTTCCCTCCGTCCGTCCGTAGTCACAAAAAGCATTCCGGTAAAGCTGAAGAGAAGAACAACGCGGGAAACAACAAAACGGAAATCACTATGCTGTGACATGGTGATTTCCATTTTCTTGTTCCCCGCATTCTTCTGCATTTTAGCTGTACCGCGAATGCTGACAACACCGTCCATCCCCTTCCCATTCACGCGTCTCACTTCGACACTACCTCTGGCTCTTGTAGATCTCTTGGCTGCTGCGCTCGACGGCCCGGGCATGTCGGCCAGTCGCTATGGCACCTCAATCGCCTCAATCTAGTACGCTTGGGAGTGCTGCGGGTTTGCCTACTCGCTCGAGCAACGAGGCGCCATGGTCAGAGAGGATAGGCAAGCAAATCCGTACTCTGGTGATGTACCACACCTGGTGGATGCATGAACGTTGAACCTAGAGGCAAAATATGACACGACAACCCCCCCCCCCCCCCCGATGAGATGTTGTTTCGGGCAGCGCCTTAAAAGACAAAGTGTTTCGGGCAGCGCAAAGTCACAAGTACCCGTTTCTATCGTCCGTTTGTGTTCCCTCCGTTCCGCCTCAGCAGGGTTACATATTGTCGCTCGGACTTGACTTTCAACACAACTCAATTTTACGGTCTCTGCCCACTGTGTTCACAGTGACCAGAACTAGAGCCCCGCAAAGAGCCAGCTACGCGGGCTAGGCCCCTTCTTCGACAGGTGAGAGGGGGGTCGGGGTAGGCATTTAGCTCGCGTAGCTCACTCTTTGCGGGGCTCGAACCAGAACTGAGTTGCAGCTCGCGACGCCCACACCCTGGCGCCCGAGACGTCTTCCCCGTATCCGCGGAACTCCCGAGAGCTACGGCGGAAATGGAACTTGTTTTCTTTGTGGGTTTTTTTTTCAGTCGCAGAGGCAGAGCGGGCGAGCAGGCGGTGCGCAGAGCGTGGGAGAGGAGCCGGGCGGGGCGGCCGGGGCAGCTGATGCCACACCACTCATTTACATCATTAAACGCCACCAACAACTTTACCCCCCTTCTGCTCCGGGCCCGGCCGGGCCAGCCCCTCTTTTGCATGCCGTCGTCCCTCATTCTGCTGCCACCCGAGCCGGGGGCGTGGCGGGCGCGGAGCTTTGTTGTGATTCATGGCGAGGTAGACGGGCCGCGACAAGAAGCAGGCGGCTGCCCAAGTCACACCCCAAAGCGCCCCCCTCCCCTCCCCACTATCCCTTCCCCTCACGTCCCCTTTTTTTTATCCAGCCCGGAAACGTCCAAGGGAAGGGGTGCTGCTGGTGCTGGTGCCCCTCGAGCACGGCCCCCCAACCAACCCCCCGCCGCGGCCGAACGGGTGAGGTGTCTGCACCGCCAGCAGCCAGGCCCGGCAGCTGACTGCTTGGGCCCTTGTAGGTGTCGTGTCAATAGGGTGTTCCGATGAATCCGGCGAAGTGACAAACTAGCAAGTTATGACGTGTATAAGAAATCGCTGGCGTTTTCGTTTCGTGAAAGGCGAGAAACGAGTAAAAATTGACGGAAAATGCAATGACGATTTCTCATAACGTGTTTCTATAGGCATCTGTCACAAGCTTTACATGCGAGACAACGGCAGAAAATCCAAACAAGTAGGAGAATGAAGTAGGCTCGACTGGAATATTATTTCTTCAGTGTGTCTGTTGTTTGTTGTCTACCTGAAACAACCAGAAAAGCCTATTTGGAGTCAACTACCCTTAACGTAAACTGATCGCATTTTCTAATGGGTCTCCCAAAAAAATGAAACTGGGTTCTGGGTGATCGTTGAACTTTGTGTTTTCCTTATTTCTAGATTAGAATAAAACTTTTTTCAACTGACGAATCAGTTCGTTTGTTTGCAGTTGCTATGCTGTAGGCGGTGATATCCACCTTTTCGCCGTCAGGCATCTCACCAAAGTTATGAGCAGCGGGTCTCGGTTTGATTTTCTTTCTTTACTCCCCCCCCCCCCCGTAACAACGCGCTGCAGCAGCCCTGCACTTGTGCTCGGAGTAGGGGCGAGAGAGGGGAGGGGGGAGTAGCTGGCCCTGTTCTGGCTGTGCCGAGTAGCATCGACCCTCCCGGTCCTCATCCTCCGTGAGGGAGCAACGTCCCCAGCCTCCCCAACGAGCCGCGATACGCAATGCATGTGCTTGTCCAAGTCATCACCGCCGTGACAGAGGTCGGGGGGCTAAAGGGAGGTCCAGCCATGGCGCTGCTGCCGGTAAATGTTGGACTGAAGATTGTGTTAGGTGCACCTCACGTGAGTGTACACACACTCACACGTCTGGGGAGGACGCTTGACAATCGTCGCGGAAAGGGAGGGTAAGGGGGGGTGCGCAGGGGGCCTCTTGGCGAGAGGGCTGCAGAGTCGTCCTCTTCGCGTCGCAGCGCGGCGCCGTGAGCCAATGTTCCCTCACGTGGCAAAGCCGGTTGACAAATTCACTCCAAACTAACTTTTACGCGCCGAGTTTCTCCGAGTCGGACGAGCGCACTTTAGGTGACGGCCCGCCCGGGCCTCCAGCGCGCCGCGCCCCGGCCCGCTGCAGCCAAAGTGAGTAAGATATATATACATTTTGCCGTTATGAGAGTTTATTCATCTTTTCACGTCC